GGGGGCGCCACAGGAGCAGGAACCGGAGCCAAACCAGAAAATAAAAGTTTTTTTTCTCTTTTTCTCTCTGGAGCTGCTGGTTTTTGGGTTTAAATCCGGTTTAGTTTAGAGTTTTTTCCCAGTTTTCAGACCTCTGACTCTGATCTGTGACGTTTACAGATTGAATGGATATAAGTTTATATCAGGGAAGTCAAAAAAAGTTCAGTCACGTGACCACTAAACTCTTAACATTTCCTTGTGATGCTTATACTGTATGTTTTACTTTCTGATTCAATTTAATTTTACTGATTAATGCCCTTCGTATTTTATTTTACTTACAATGTGCTTTCCATAATGATTATTGTTTTTTTTTAGTTTATTACTTATTTATTTTATCTGTCATTGGGTGTTTTCTTGGTTTTTACTTTTTTTATACATCGCCCCTTCTTAGGAAAAATGTTCAATGTAATTGTTGTGCGGTACCTTTATCTATTGTAAATAGTTGGATAATAAATTAAAAAATTAAAAAAAGCTTATATTGTGTATTATATGTTCTTTCTTATGTATTTGCCTGCATAGGGACTATGGATTAAAACTATCTTTGTAGCTATATTAGCATATTCACATTTGTTTTTGTACTGATGTTCATTAAGGTGCTTTTGTCCCTATTCAAATAAAAAATAAAATAAAATAAAATAAAAAAAGAGGTGAAAAAGAGGGGGTTTGCAAATGGCCGGACCCCGCCCTTCCTCTCTAGACTTTTCTCCTCATCCTCACAGCCCAGAAACTGAATTATTCACGTTATTCTGCGCTGCTGCCTTCAGGGCCCCGGCCAAAGGTGGGAAATAAGAGCTTCCAACACTCCAAGGGGGAAATATCCGTCCATCAGAAGAGGGATTTAAACCAAAGAAGAAGACATTTAAACCCAGAAAATGTCCCATTTATGTCGTTTGTCAAAAACTATTACCAGAAACTTTGTGTCTCTTTTCAAAAGGTTTTACAAACAAACAAAAAAAAGCATGTAAATAACTAAAATTCTTCATAACTCTGCTGTCCCTGTTTACTAAATTAGGGCAATCTGAAGCCATTTCCGGTTTAAAGACGTTTAAATTTCTTCACGTAAACACATTCAAACTCTGAAAGATCTTTTTTGTGTCTAAATTGACAAAAAACAAGATAAGAAAACAAGAGAAAGGTTTTGGCCGCCACACCCAGAAGATACGTGTCAGGTTTTTATGCACTTTACACCCAAAGACAAAAGAAAAGTGGAGACTGGATACTGGGGACTTTTATAAGTCTGCATTGTCTAACTTTATGTGTACATAACTATGACTTAAAGCAGCCACTCAAAAGAAAAAAGAAATGAAAAAATCCAAATGTTTTCTGTAGATATTTAACCAAACAAAAAACAATCAGTATTTCCCAGCAAAAGGGAAACATTTCCACCACCTTAAGTCACA